TTCTTTGTAGTTGATTCCTTTTCTTCCAAGTCTTGAATTAATTTCTTCAATTCTTTAGCAAATTCCTAGCCCTTCTTGAACTTCAATTTCGTCCATCCACCTTGCTCCATGCATGTGCTATCCATTCCAAGGCCAAAACTGCTCTAAAATGCTCCAAATTGCCTTTTCTTGCTACTTTAGTCAATTGAACCTACAAACACATGAAAATAGCTTAAATTACTATAATAAATAGAAACTAACAACATAAATGCAAGAAAACAAGCTAATTAAGTCGCATAAATATGCTCCTATCACTTGTCATCATATAGCTGCAGATATAAATGCTTTGAGATAAGTGACTCATTATCAGGGCTCTAAGAATATAACCATTGGTAATGGTTCTAGCTTACCAATTCAAAATATTGGTTCTACTACAATTCAAACTGATAATCAATCTCTGGTCCTCAATAAAGTTCTTCATGTTCCAAATATTGTCAAAAACCTTCTTTCAGTTAAACAATTATGTGCAAATAATAACAGTTGGTTTATATGTGATGAATGTGAATTCTTTGTGCAGGACAATAAGACAAGGGAGGTGGTGTATCATGAAAAGAGTAAACCAGAAAAGCTATTTCAAATTCCTATGATTAAAGTTTCAAGAGGGTTACAATCTGTATCAAAAGATCCAGTGGCTTACTTGGGAAAAATGGTGAAATCTAATGTTTAGCATCAAAGGTTAGGGCACCCGGCTCATGATAATATGACTGCTATGTTGCAATAGTCTAGGGTTGTACACAAATTAAATGATACATATATTACTTGTATTTTTTGTATTAGAGGGAAAATGTCTAGGATACCATTTCTTGTTAGAAGTGATAAAAGTTTGGTTCCTTTTGAGAAAGTTCATATGGATGTTTGGGGTCCAACTTTTGTAAAATCTGTGGAAGGATATAGATACTATGTACTTTTTGTGGATGAATATAATAGATTTACTTGGATATTTCCCCTGTGCAATAAGTCAGATATGTATGCATTTTTTGTTAAATTCTACACTTTCATTCAAGCTCAGTTTGAGATATCAATTAAAAGTTTGCAAATAGATGGTGGAGGTGAATACACTAGCAAGATACTTACATCTTTTTTGGCTGCAAAAGTTGTTATGCATTTTATTTCACGTCCCTATACTCCTCAACAGAATGGAATATCTAAGAGGAAACATAGACATGTTGTTGACACTGCTCTCACTCTATTGAATGCTTCTGGTTTAAGTAGTGAATTCTAGAATTTGCATGTGCTCATGCAGTTTTCTTGATCAACAAGATGCCTTGTAAGACTTTGTCTTTTAGTTCTCCTTATCTACTTTTGTACAACAAGGTGCCTAAATTACAATCTTTGAGAATTTTTGGATCAACTGTGTTTCCTTGTATAAGACCTTACAATGACCATGAATTGCAGTTCAGGTCAACAATGTGTGTTTTCCTAGGCTATGCAATGGGGTGCAAAGTGGTTATATGTAATGATCCACAATCAAGGAAGTGTATTATATCAAGACATGTTATATTTGAAGAATCAATATTTCCTACAAAGTTGGGGCTATCTTAGCAAAGTGCTACATCTGTGAAAACATCAAATCCCTCTCCTTATGTGATTGTACCAGTTTCAATTCCTGTTAGGCATTCAAGTTTTTAATTTGAGAATGGTCAATCACCTGCAATACATTATGTCATGTCTGATACATTAGTGATTAGGACACCAGTTTTTAGTTCTCATACTTAAGATAGTACTACACCACAAAATCAAAATGTTGAATCTTCATCAACTGCACCTAATGATCTTACTTACTCTATAGCTTGTGATACACCTACTTCACCTCATTTGCTTCCTGTCCTCAATTATGATCAACTCCAGGTAATTTTACCACTTTCTGGGAGATCTTCCAGTACTGAGTCTCTCATATTACCTATTCAATAACACAGACATCATGGAATTCAAACTAGATTACAACCGTGTGCCATTTCAAGAAAGAACTATGTAGCTTATCTTATTACATTACCTGAGTTAAGTTCATTACAGATTCAGGAATCGTGGTCTAATGATTCTTCTCCTGGTACAACCTCTGGTGCATTCTTTGGTGGATTTTCTTTTCTAGCTGACATAACAGAAATTGAAGAACCTAAGACCTTTAAGGCAACATCTTCTAAAACTGAATGGCAATTGGCTACGCAAGAAGAGTATAATGCATGAAAAGCTCAAGGTACATGGGTTTTGGTTCCAACTCCATCTCACAGATCTATTGTAGGCAATAAATGGGTGTATAAAGTCAAGAAAAATCTTAATGGCTCAGTATCACGATACAAGGCTAGGCTAGTGGCTCAAGGTTACACTCAGGAACAAAGCTTGGATTACTCAAAAACTTTCAATTGTATGGTGAGACACACTTCTGTATGAATCATTTTAGCCTTAGCTGCACAATTTGGTTGGAATATGAGACAATTGGACATTCAAAATGCCTTTTTACATGGGGATCTTGAGGAGGAAGTCTATATAAAGCAGCCTCAAGGATTTATGGATCCTTCTTGTCCAAGTTATGTGTGCAAACTTATCAAATCTCTCTATGGATTGAAACAAGCTCCAAGAGATTGGAAGTCAAAGTTCACAAGTTATCTTTCTTCTCTCGGATTTACAACTCACTATCTGATACAAGTTTATTTGTTAAAGTGGATGAAGGGGACATTATTCTATTTTTGCTTTATGTAGATGATATCATAATCACTGGTTCTAACTCTACAAAGAGTCAAGCAGTGATCAGTGCTATTGCAGAAGTATTTGATCTCAAAGATATGGGAAAGTTGTCATTTTTTCTGGGATTATATAAAGAGGATGGCTCATTGTTCATAAGTCAATCAAAGTATGCAAAGGAACTACTGAAAAAGGCAGCAATGGAGACTTGTAAGCCAACATCTACACCATCAAAGCCACATGCACAGTTGCTTAAACAAGAAGGTATTGTTCTCTCTGATCCAAGTCATTATCGAAGTTTAGTAGGGGCTCTTCAATATCTGACCTTCACTAAGCCAGATATTGCCCATGCTGTGAACATGGTTTGTCAATCTTTGACTCCCCTAACTAATCTTCATATGCAACTTGTCAAAAAGATTTTAAGATACTGAAAGGGTACACTTGATTATGGGCTGCATTACAAAAAAAGTCTGGATTTCAATTTAACTACCTATTCAGATTCCAATTGGGCAACAAATATAAACACTCGAAGGCCAATAACTGGGTTTGTGATTTACTTGCGAGATAATCCAATTCCATGGCAATCTAAGAAGTAATCTACAGTGTCCAGAAGTTCCACAGAGGCTGAGTATAAGGCTCTAGCACATTCTGCAACAGACTTATTTTGGATTCGATCCCTGCTCAAAGACATGCATCAAGTTCTTTTGGTTCCTCCATTACTCCATTGTGACAACTTAAGCACATTGGCTTTAAGCTCGAATCTTGTTTTCCATTCAAGGATCAAACATCTTGATACTGACTATCATTTTGTTTGAGAAAAGATGCAACGTGGAGATCTTATTGTTCAGTATATACCTACTAAAGAACAAGTTGCCGATGTGTTTACAAAAGGATTGCACAGTCCAATGTCTGTAAAGCATTGCAGACATCTTGCTCTTGCTGTTTCAGACAAGTCTCAGATGCACGATTGATTCAAACTTCACTTGGAGACTCCAAGTTCAGTTTAAGGGGGGAGTAATAACTGATATAATAGAAATGCCACATGGCATTATTCTAGTGAGTGAGGTTGTTAATATAGTTAGAAGGGTACTGTTGTAATTAGCATATATGACTATATAAGAGAGAATAGGGCTCTTGTTCTATCAAGTCAGTTGTAATATTTCTGAAAGCAATCAATACAATTTCCTCTCTCTCTCTCTCTCTCTCTCCCTCCCTCTCTCTCCCTCCCTCCTTCTCTCTTCGATTCTGTAATTCTTTGTTCTTCATAATTTCTTCTTACTGTTAATAAGCTCAAGCTATCTCAACAGAAAACAGTTTCATAAAGAACAAATAAGAATTTACTAAGTAAATCATTTACTAACAAGAAATTAGTAAGCAATTTACTTTTGAATATGTTGTTCGTCAAATCTGAGGTAAGAGCCACCATTTCGTTCCCCTTTCTGCCATCGAAGACCTTACATACATAAAGCACATGCATGAGACCAATTTCATCCATTTGTCCCTAACCTAATTGTTGTAGACAACATTGATCGAAGAGAGAAAAGGATGACCTTACCTGTTACCTGTGAGTTTCTCGGCACCAAGATAAGGAACTCGATTTGTGAAATGTAATTTTACATTTGATTTTACATATCTGTTTGTTTACTAGCTGCCGATTTTTATTAGTGTTAATTTAATACTTTCTATATATAAACATAAATTATTTATATCAATTCTTGTGGATAACAAACTTGTTTGAGTTGTGTATACTACAATTACCTTATTCTCTTACAAGTATTTTATGTGTTTTGTAAAAGTATTTTAGTTTTTTTTAATTCTATTTTCACAGGTGGTCAAAATCTTATCACTTGTACTTATTTTTGCATTAAGTCAATGAATGAAAACACACACTTCTAGTTCACAGTTCTACAGTTGGCCAAAAATAATGGAGGTGTGCAATGGTGTTGTGGGTTAATGAGTTTAGAAACACCAATCTTTATTTTTATCTTTTTATTTAATAAGGCAAAATTTTGAGAGTTTGGAGGAGAAAATTTTAAATTAAGTATAAAGAATCATAAAAAGATTGGGTTTAATAAAATTTCCCTTAAATATGTTTGAGTATTTGCAAGGAACAACACTACCTATCACACAAAATAAGCTTAAGCTACGCTACGAAGGTTGTATGCTCCATTTTTCGTAGCACGCATGTGAAAGAAATTCTGTACGATGAGTCGATGACTACATTTATAGAAATATCTATGGAACACTTATTGACCTAACACTCGACTTAAAAACCCATTGTGTATGTGTAAACATTATTTTATATATAATGTATTATATATACCTTAATTACAAATGACTAGCACCATGATGCAGCCAAATTACTAAGGGGCACAAGCTTATTAATTACACTGCTATACAGCCTATACTACTGCTTCTATATATGCATCTGGCCACAACAAAGAAAGTCGTAAAACCCTTCCGGGCTTCAAATTATATGTGGCCATATATTATTCAGAATATCCTTAGTACTAATTTTTATTACCTTTAATTACTCAGCTATATATAACGATGATCGCGATCACGATGAATTGAATCACGGTCCATTTGTCACATTACATATGCGTGTAGTGATAGTAATGCTCAGGAGGAGTATCCGGGTCGGGTTTCTCAAGTACTCCGTCGACGTTCCTGAGCCAGAAAGTCTGGTTAAGAGAAGCAGCTCCCTTAGGCACATCATCCATGACCTTTTCATGCCCCTTCGGAACGTATATTCCTGTTCTTGGATGTGGCACCCAGTTGCACCTCCATGAAGATGAACTATTACTGCCAGTCTCACTTTCCATCATGTCAGTATCCTCACTATCACTCTCAACCATTCTGCTTGATATGTTTTCTGCAGCTCCCCTCAGCTTGCTGCTGAAATGGCGTCGATGATCTCCTTGCGCGTGCTTAGCTTCCCTGTAATATGAACTGCGGCATGCATGCATATTATTAACCCTCTTAATAAAATTATTATTATATCATCTCAACTTACCATCTAGTATAGTCTTTCTAATAGAGGTTATGTCGGTCCCACTTCTTTTAGAAAAGATAATAGACTTGATATCCAGTTAATTAAGATGGTTCAATTGAAACAACTTTTACTGTCGATAACTACGGACTAGAAGGATCAATTTAGCTAATTCATAATGGAAACATTACCTAAGCATAAACATCTTTGATTTCGCAACCCCGCCGCTCGTCATGGCCATCAGCATTCACGTATAAGCAGATCCACAAAAGTTAGATTTATATTTGCTAAACCCTGAACAACTTTCATACAAGTTAAGGCTAATGAAAGCAATATTGGGTTTTAGCTTTGAAAAATATGTATGCATGCAGCCAATATATATAATAGACGGAAGAATATGTTCTATTGGGCATTACCTTTGCGACCTAGTGAAGATTTTTGTATAAGGAGGAGGGCGCACATGCAATATTTTCATTTTTCGGATAAAGCAAAAGTGGAACTCAAGGAATATCTTTATATTATTGAAGGAAAATCGGGTTCCAAACAACTGTGAGGCTCTAATTCAATGGTAGACCATGATTGTGAGATACTCTCTAAGAATGGTTGAAGTGCATATGTTAAATCTGCTTTCTATTGATGCGGCTCTTCGTTTAAGTAATAAGAATATATTACATAATGTATTGTTCTTAGAGCACATGAGTAGTACAGATCTTTTTCTCCAGATATGACATCTCTGGTCCTTGCTCAAGTACTGTACATGGTAATCTGTCTTTGGTGAGTAACCTAGCTTTCGTCTAATAAGTTATGCTCCCTGTCGGTAGTTTAGCAAAGGTGTTGACTTAATCGTGCACGATCAGGACCCTAATAGTACTTAGAGGTAGGTATACTATGCACGATTTAGCGATAAGGGTACTGTGTGATTGTAGCACGGTCTTGTGGTAATATACACAAGTTAAGGACAGTAATTTTGAGTATATTGCGAATAAATATACAATGCATTATACATGGACGGATCCACATAGAGACCTGGTGGTGTCTCGGACCCTCCAGAGGTTGGGGAAAAAAAGCTAATGAAGGTCCTTCAGGGATCCCTTGAATGTCTGGTTCGAGACCAATTTGTGCCCACGAAGTGTTTAATTCTCAGTAACACTCCACAGGACACGTTAATATCCCTTGGCAAAACTCTGTCGGGTCATTTGACAAAACTGTACAAGATCTCTCGCAACACTCAACATCTGTCAACACGCGTGCAACATGGCTTGTGGAAGGATTTTTACCATCTGAAATAAAAACATTTAAAAATACTTGCAAGAGAACAAAGTAATTGTAGTATAAACGTTTCAAGTAAGGTCGTTCTCCACAAGAATTGATATAAATAATTTGTATTTAAACTAATACTTAATTAATTATTTGAAATAGATTTTTGTAGAAAAAAATTGAGATTGTGAAGATGAAAACCAAAACAAAACAATTTAAATTTAAGAAAACAATAACTCGGCAACACGGAAATTAAAATAGTTTTTAAGAAAATCACTTATGGAAAAGACTAGGGTATAGCCATCGCCATTAACAATCTTATGCAATTCTACCAATTACTTATGAAAATATCAGATGCATGTTTTGAAGGTCAGGTTTTCAATGCATATTCTCCTTGAGTATTCAAGCAAGAACATATATTTAACATGTAATCCGTCTATGATATTCAGATCAAATATGAACATGCAAGACTCATTAAGCTATTGTGAAAACCTTTTGAAAAACTATGCAACCCTTAAGATTCTTTAGTGAAATTACAATTATCAATCAATAAAAGTCCTAATCAATTCTAAGGTGACATTCCAACAGAATTGCATCCAATTACTTGTCTAGACATCTTAATGGTAGGCAATCATCAGAACTTATAGATAGCTTAAATACAGTGATTAATAATTCAAGGCATGCATGCATGGATAATCATAAGCAATTCCATAAAGATTACATATTCATGCCAAGGCTCGTGGCCTTCCCCTAGCAAAAGGAATTAGTTACGCATATTTATAATTAAAAAGAAAAATGCTATTAGAAACATGGATAGAAAATATCTTATAAAATAAGGTTGAATCATAAAAGCTTTCTAGGCCGAGTTCTCCAAAATAGTACGTCAAGAACACTAATACACGACTACACTATTTATATAGTGCTTTATTTCTTATCCTACTTAAAGAAGGCCTTCTAATAAATTGGAAATCTAATTAAAATAATAAATAAAGGTTTCCTATTCAAAATGAAATTCATACTACAAAGAAAATCCCTTTTTTGATTGACCAAATCAGCTCTGATTTGGTCCCAAAATGTCTATTTTTAAAGCTTAACACGTCCTCTTCAAATCCTCAAAAAGAACCTTCCTCTAAAAATGCCATATTGACCATCAAAATGCCCAAAACGTCCAAAAACGTCGATCTAGGAAAGTTGCGGAGTCAGTACTTATTTCTTCACCACAGTCAAACAACATGGACCTGCTCCAATTGGAATTACTCAAAACTTCATCCGTTTGATTACTCCTTCCTTAGATTAGATTCACATGTCCTACAATAAACAATAAATTAATACCAATATCATCTCCAACCCTTGGGTTAAAACCTAAATTTTAGGTTTTATCCTAGAAATAGTTTTTCTGCTCCACGTTTGAGTTAAAATTTTAGTCCGAGATTATTAAAGAATTAAATTTATAATAAATCTATTTTGGTAACATTTTTTTAAAAATAAAATTGACGTAGATTATCATGATTTATTTTTATGAACATTTTAACCCAAAAAAATATTTAAATTTCAATAAAAGTTGTAAATTTACTAAACCGACCCCTTGAAAATAATTTTTTGGGTGAATTTTTAGTTTCAATTTTGATTTAAATAAATTTATTAAATTGTTTTAGCCCTTGAATTTAATTTTGGGTTGTTAGATTTTTTTAAATTGTTAGATTTGATCATATTTGACTTCAGCTATTGGATTTAATGTATTTAAAAATATAAAATTTAAAAGTAAATAGGTTTGAATATAGACCATTAGATCAACCAATGGTCCAATAATTACAACCGTCGGATCGAAAAAGAGTCGTTGGTCTCATTTTGAGTGGCTAACATACTCAAAATCTAAATTTTAAGTTTTAACCCAATTGTTGGAAATGAACCAAAAATAGAATAAAAATATAGACTAATATCGACTCATCAGCTTGACAAAGAATGATAGGGAGACTAAACCGTCGATGAAATGGCAACTGAAATTAATAAAAGAAGCAAGAATGTACTTACTTCATGACTTTTTTATGCTTAAAGAGATTCATACTTGAAACAAATTAACCCAAAAGTCAATTTTAACCACCAAATGCATGTGTCTTATCTTGCTAGGGTATCTATTTATCTCCACTTTCCATGTTAGCAAGAACTCGAATAAAGTGAACTCATATTGCAACGAAACTATCTTTTGGGTGAAAGAACCTGATACAGAATTAACGTTGATTTTGCTTGGGCACATGGTGCATGCACATCAATATATGTAAACTCAAAATGGTGAACTGAGTCTCTGGCACCTTCCTTTACCTTCAGCCAAACTGTACAGTTTCAGTTTGTACTTTTACTTTGGCTAGAAAATCTAATAAAATGTCATATTCTAAGTGGTTCAACTCAATTAGTTAAAAAATTTAATACTAAATTATTATGGCTAGCTTTTATAACTTAATTCAAATCCTCACCCCAATAAGAATTTTATAAAAACAAAATATGTCATACACACACACACACACACACACACACACACACACACACACACACACACACAACAAAAGTGCTACTCCACAAATCAGTTCCTAATAACCTGTACCAGTCCTTTTTGTTTGGGTGTTGTTAGTCCACGGTATTGTTCACTTTAACAAAAAACCACATTTTTACACTAAAAAGTCAATCCTAGTACTGTTCACTTTACCCTTGATTTTGTCTTTATCATTAAAACTCAAAGTTTTCAAGCCCTTTTTCATTAGTTTTTCCTTTTTTTAATGGAAAGTATTACCAGTTTATTAATTCCATGATTTTATTTTTGGAGATTGATTGACTGATCAAGCAACTATAACCATGACCATTTAGCAGAGCCAGTGCAAAGGGTGTGTAAGTAGTGCCACCGCACAGGCCCCTAGTTCGGAATGACCCCCAATTTATGATTTTGTTTTACGTGTATATAAAGTATATATTTTTAAAGGGGCACCAATTAATCAAATTAAGCTCCTAGCATAAGTATTCTCACATTTTTTTTTTTAATCTTTGTAGCTCCAATTGGGTTTGAATATCTCCTACGTGACTACGTCACATCTTATTATGTTTTATTTTAACTTCTTGTTGTAATTAAAAGCGAGGAGTTTTTATTTTTATTTTTGTTGTGTTTCAAATCTAAAAACATACCACCACACAATTGATCATTTCATTCATTTTCTTCATTATATCAATTTATACATTATATATATATATATATATATTAACCAAAATTTTATACCTTATAAGGAGCTCCATTTTGAATCTCGCCCAAGGCTGTCAAATCTTAGACCCAGCCATGTCATTTAGCTACTACAACAAATTAACGATGGCTGCCAACACTCGAAGACTAAGTTCATTCACATTTTTATTTAAAATTCTCAATATTTCTAGAAGTCCCAACATGCATTCCAATATTTCCCAAACCCACACCACTTGCAACCCCACCGATATGAGAAATTTTTTAATATGCCGTAAATACATCTTGGGACACCAAGTATTATACTACAAGTAGTTGGAATTTTTTTGTAAGTATCCAACCACTCACTAGTACAAAAACATATTTGCGCGACGGAAACTTGCGCGACGCAAGAAATTTCGTCACACAAAATATATTTGCGTGACGCTAAACACAAAACGTTGCGCAAACGGCCTTTGCACGACACATGCCTTCATTGCGCAAAGTGTCATCCCGCAAAAGCCGTTTGTGCGATGTTTTGTGTGTTGTGCAAGATTTTGGTGCCAAACCAAGAATGCTTTACCGCTTTTTTTCCAAACTTTGGGCGACGCATGCCTTCGTCGGGCGAAGTGTCGTCGCGCAAAGGCCATTTGCATGACGTTTTGTGCATCGTGCAAGATTTTGGTGCCAAACCAAGAATGTTTTACCCCTTTTTTTCCAACGTTTTGCGACGCAGGTGCATCTACGTCGCACAAAGTCGACAACTTTTTTTTTTTAAATAACCACACACAGGGGCCTTTTTCTTCACACTCAACCTCTATCTTCAGACTCTCTATCTCTCTCAACCCTCACCATCTTCATCTTCAGGTAGTGTATATATTTGATTAATTAATTAACTATTTA